TCTTCCTCTTCCTCCTTTTTCTTCTCCTCCTCTTTTTTTTTCTCCTCTTCCTCTTTTTTCTTCTCCTCCTTCTCCTGTTTCTCCTTTTCCTCTTCCTCCTCTTCCTCTCCTCTGCTGAACAAATTCCTATTCCTCCTCCATCTTCTTCTTCCCGAGACAGCTAAGAAGGTAGACAGTCCTTAGCCTAAGTCCAATTCATTAGTTATATCGGGCATGAATTGGGAGATTTCCTCAGAGTCATTCAAATTGATTTGGGAAGGAAAACCAGACTTCTCCAGCAGAAGCGCTCTCCAGCAGAAACTTTCTTTTCCTCCTCTTCCTTCTTTTCAATCTCCTCCTCTTCGATCTCTATCTCTTCAGCCTCCTTGACCGAATCGTCCTTCTCCACTTCTACATCATCATTATCACTAATAACATTTTCCTTTTTTAACAGGTTGGTTAACAAAAAATTTCATTTTCTTCTTTTTGCTCAAAACATAAGCTTCACACAAGATATGACAACTTTGTACGGACAAGACTTGACACTGAGAAGAATCCTTCGTCATAGCGAGGCTGTATTTATAGGCGATGTATGTGAAATACTTAAGATAAATGTTTGCAGACTATAGAAGTATAGAACTTTAGATATCACAAAAAATGCAAGATAATAAGGGCTCGCTATAGATGGAAAATAAAGAAAGTACATATATAGTGTATCTGATTTGCCTTCAATGGGCCTTCATTGAAGACTCATGCGGCAATATACGTCGCTATTTTCATGATAAAAACCGTTGTTTAAAATTTTCAATGCAATTCTCCAAATAATGTTATTGAAGCTTCATTATTATTTTGCGTAAAGCCTGAGCAGCGCTCTAACAAAGTGTCCTTACTCAAGTCGTCATAAATTGGTCGAATATATCCAGCTTCCAAGACATCGTGAGGCAATGACATCGTGCTTGTAGGTGTCAAGGGTAGCATCGGCTTTTGCTCGTTGTTAGCTACACTATGAGTCCTTCTGGGCAACTTTCATGATGTAGTTTTTCATCTGTAGAGCTATAATAGAATTGCTCAGATTGACGTCTTCATTTTGTCCTTTGAATTACAATTTCTCCGAATGGCTAAACTATAATAAATGAGCTTATTTTTCTAGTTAATTTGTTTCGATCTCCGAGACCGCATGGGGCCGCATTAACAATACTGAGTAAGTCTTGGAGTCGCCATCTTCAATGTAATAATTGGTATACTTGACTGTGAAACGTTCCATAGATCTTCGAAAAATTTCCACCATTGAGTCAACCTCCATTTTTTCGGACCCTTCGTAATTCGGTAAGCACTTTTCTGTGTTTTACTTTCCTCGTATTCAGCAGTATTTTGACGTATACTCCAATATTCGCATTCTTTCACTCTACAATAGTTCGATTTTACAATAAGGTCCAGAATTTTCCCAATGCAATATCCAATAATAGAAGAAACACCATACAATGAAATGAATTGGTGTCGTCCTCACAAACTGTAAGGTTCGGAAGTATCTTT